ATATATATAAAATATATATATATGAAGAAAAAAATTATGAAAAAACAAACAAAAATCCTTAAATGTAGTTAAAATGAAAGAAATGTCGACGTCTGACGTTTCGGTTTAATAAACCTTTTTCAAGACAATATTCATCAAAATACAATTCAGTTCAATATGACAAATACGATGGACATAAAAACACAAGTCTATTTTTTTTTTTTGTTTTTTCATAAATTTTTCTTCATTCTGTCGGATTTATATCCATTTACACTTGCTTATATATATATATATGTACCTTGATGACGATACAATACCTTGAGGATATCTCCCATTTTTTTTTCAATTTAATGGGAAATCGATATATAAATATATGAAGAATTTTAGGCAAAAGGAAAAGTAGATATTTTGGACGAATCCAACAAATCCGATGTTGTCCACTGTGATGAGTCCCGCCAAAATTTCAATTAAAAAAATGCTATGGTCATATACTACTGTAATTCAATGTATATAAATTGATGTTAGACCTACCCAGAGCATTCAAGCTGATAAAGACTCAAACTAGTGTTGGGTTATTTTAGTATTATGGATACCTGTTCACTGTCGTATTATAGTACATTTTTCTAAAATACTTGCCAAATAACACATTTCTGCAAATCCATAATCAAGTTTAAAGCAAGGTATGTTAAAAACTCGAAATTGTTACTTTGGCTTACATCTTTGTTTAGCATTCTGTGGTTCATATTTCTAGCGAATGTATGGCATATTTAGTTCTTGTATGTCTTTTTTCGACTATAAAGAGAGAATCACTTTGAGTGAATACCATTGAATAATAATTAGCTTTGGGAATCTATGAAATATTTCCTTCTAAAAAGAGAGAAAATGAAAAGGCATAAGCACTGGTTTGGGGAAGGAAACGGCCATGCGATCACTAGCAGTCTTTAAATGTCCAAGTTGCCAGGAAGGGCGGTTGGATTTTATAGGACACAATGAGAGAATAAGGACATGAAGCGTTTGTAATGGCCTAGATGGCGAACATATACAGTGATTGGGCAAGTCAACGACAACTGCAGCGGAAGGAAAGAATGCCGCGCAAAGGACGCCGGGAAAACCGGAGGAGTAAGGTCAAAAGGCAAAGAAGGAGTGGCAAAATTTCAAGATTGAACTGAAGATGTGATGCTTTTGACTGTGGGGGAAGGAACTAAAGATGTTGCAAAAGGTGGGAAGCCGGGAAAGAGGTTTTAACAAGATATGAGGGTGGTGATATGACGTAAGGGAGATTCTATTCTTTTGTCCTTGTTTAAAAGACTACCGGCGGATATTCATGAAAGCTTTCACATCAATGAAAGAAACATTTGAATAGATACACCAGTGAAAGTCTCTGCTACCAGAGCCTCTGTATGAAAAGAAAAGTCTAGAATTTTAATATATTTCTTCACTGCTATTTATCCTATCAAAAAGTGTATACTTTTAGTTTTGCTCAGTTCGATTCTTGAAGGTATCTCTCGACCTATAAAGCTTTAATATCTGTCTATATTTCTGAGATGAGGTATTATGTACACTATTTACATTATTCGGACTATTGTCATCATCTTTGTCGTCATGTTTATCACAACGTTTCGGCCGTTGTACGCTCCGGCCTTCTTCAGGTGGTTGGAATGTCGAACTGAACCCTTTATTTCGCTCACAGTGGTAGACTGTTCTAGTTCTATATGCCATGTCTAATGGATGTCAGTTATCAGTTATCTCCTGTTAATTCCCCTCTGAAAGTTCTCGACTGCCTTAACCAGGTATTGAACTCACACTCTTTGGGTCTTGTCAATGAATCTAACACCTTTATCCACTGTGCCATGTGTCTTTGAGGTTGTGATAAACATGGCGACAAAGATGAGGACAATAGTCCGAATAATGTAAATAGTGTCTATAAAATTTTGCATACCTTTTCTACTTTGTTTTACTAGCGTATATAACAACATTCAGTTCTTCTCCAATGTGCCGCATCCTTTCCCAACGTTGGCAACCATGGCTCTCCACACTTTCCTGTCCTTTGTAGCTCTTAGTAAATTTTGTCTTTTTGTTATCTCTTATAAACTCTGTTTTGCCGTCCATTTACACAAGCTCGCTAGGTTGGTTGATATTGTTTAGCTGCATATCAACCTCCATGGATTATTTAATGCCGAAATTTAAATATTTTGTACGTAATCTTATGGCTCTAGTAAATATATACTATAAATAAGTATAGTTTGTAATTTTACTATAAATATGTATTGTTGCATTTTTATATATAAGAATGTATTTTTATACATTCATGATGTTTTATCTTTGTTTGGGGGATTATTATTTGTCCATAGCTGAGACCCTTACAGGTTCTGCCATCCAGGCTCAAAGTGGACCTTGGAACAGCAACAATTAAGAGGTGTTTCAATGTTTCTCAAAACCTCCAATCTCTTGATCAGAAGCCATGCTGCTGGATGTAGTTTATCGTCATACCCAGGGCTAGCTTGCTAGGCAGATTATTCATCCGCCTCTCTTGCCTTCAATATGTCTCGTGAGTATCAAATTTTCTATTACTTGCACTAAACCTGACGTTACAGAGAGATATATTTAGGTATAGCTCAAAGTGACAACGGGATATGCGTGTAACGTACAGCTAGATTGATTTCAAATTCGAGCTCAAATTCTAACTGAGGTAATTGCTTTACTACTACTTGGAAAAGCGTGAATGCATCTATTCTGCTTTCCAATCCCAAGTTGAGCTTAATAAAAGGCCAAGCTATGTTCTTTTCTTCTGGTGGTCAACCAATCTGAAGGAAGAACAGTTCTGAATTTCAAACCGGTTGAGCGTGGAACTAGCAACTCACATTTGTAAAAACTTAAGTGATACAGAAATCATAGTAGCAACCCATAGTGTTCGGATTTCGTTTTACTATATTCCATGGGGCAATCAACATGGCTGACTTTATAATCTGTGAAACTCGACCACTCTCGAAGCACTACCAACCTGATATGTTTTATATAGGCAGCAATTCTCCTAGACAGTCATTTACATCAACAGAGGTAGTAAAGATGGTGGAAAAATTCGAAGTCGAAACTTATACTTTCCAACTGTGTTCGCCGATCTCTGTTGTGGTTTCCATGGAAACAAATAAGAGAGATTACTTTCAGAGCATCTATTGTAAATATGACGTGAAAAAGAAACAAAGAAAGGCAGAGAGATTAAGAAGAAGAATTATGAGAAACCTATTGTATTCATTGAGAAAACAATATTTTTATGGCATTCACATTTTTTTTATCACACTTAAGTTTTCACTTTCTTTTTTGGTTATTGTGTGTTCCCTATCAAACCAAAGTATTAACCTGAAAACTCGTGTAATGCTCTTAAATAGCCTCGGCAGACCGAAAATTACATATGCATATCATGCCTGCTGTAAACTCGTTCAGCTATATATAAACAATCAACTGTGTAAAATCTGTTTCTTGAACCAATGGTTAAAATGGCTTTGAGGGAGTGAAGCTTGCGGATTTTCGTGAAAACCATCCACCTTCAAAACTCGTGGATTGGCGCTAGAGATTCACAAAGAATTGTAGCATATAACAGAAACAATATCACTTGAGGACTTTCAATAGCAGCAAAAGCTAAAGTGGTCCGAGCTAAATACTCAACAACTTACTGGAGGTTTGTAAAAATATAACAACAATGTCGATTCTTTTTAATGAAACTTGTTTGGATTAATACTTGCTGTCTAAATATAACTTTCATTCATATATATATATATATATATATATATATATATATATATATATATATATATATATATGTGTGTGTGTGTGTGTGTGTGTGTCGAAGACATTACTGTTTCGCTGGATCACAGCTCCTCAGTGAGACTAGACATCCGAATGGCTCAAGCGTGGATCGTAACCCAACCGATTTAGTGTCAGTCAGAGTTTCTACCACTGAGCTGTCTTCATTCGACAGAGAGAAACAGCTAAATCTAGCGTATTGCTTTTACGAATGTAAACAAACGCCAATCAGTCGGAGTGCTCAAATACATCTTATTGAAGAGCTTTACAATGAATTAGCCTATCACTCAAGAGTTACCATTTGAAATATATTTTTCAAGAGCTAAATTATATATGTATATATATATACACACACACACATACACACACACACACACACACATATATATATATTATTTATATATATAATTATTGACAAAATGATCAACAAAAGCGCGATGCAGTATAAAATAACATACCAAAATACGAATGAAACGTGAATCTATGAAAAAAAATGAAAGATATAAACAGCCAATTGCTGATACCCCTGACGAGTGGACGGAGCGATTGTTGGGAGGTCCGTTTACGTTTTTAAGATGCTAGAGGTAACACCAATCAGCTAAGTGATAAAATTTATATATATATATATATATATATATATATATATATATATATATATATATATATATATAAGGTTGTCTCTTTCTTAATTATTTACTTTATATATATATATATATATATATATATATATATATATATATATATATATATATATACTAATATACTAATAAATAACACTAATTAACAATATTATATATATAAACATAAATATAAAGAGAGCATATTGTTG